CTACTGCTAGAACTTCCTGATCTACTCCTTCCTTGTTTCTCTTTTTCTTTATGGTCTTTTTTGGGTTCTAAAACAGATGTCGTTTCATTTGTAGTTCTTTTCTTTTCATTAACCACATCACCATCTGCTTCTCTTGCTTCTAGATGTGATAAGCTATTTTGCTCTTTGTGTATAAATTCATTCATTTCTTTTGTAACCCTTTCTGTCTGTTGTTTTTCTTCTGAAACACAAATAGACAAAAAGATTGAATGTAAAATTTAAAACTTCTGTACTATTAAATTTTAATAGTTAATTGTTAGATTAAAACTATTTGTTAGACTATAACAATCAATCAATCTTGATTACACAATTCAAGATTTTCTAGGTAGGGCTGGCGAGATACCTCAGTGGAATAAATGCTTGCCTGGCAAGTGCAAGGTTCTGAGTTCAATCCCTGGTACCACCACCAAAAAAAAAAGAAAAAAAGAAATAGGTAGAATTTCAATATTAACATATACGTCCAAAATATATTTAAAATGCCAATTATTCAAAAACATTGGCCTCCACTTAGTGGAGCAGCAGAGTGCAGAGATGCAGGGGAAGGAAGGCCACTTGTTGAGTTACAGCAACTTAAAAGTAAAACTGGAGGCTTGAGCTGCTAGCTCTTAATTACATTTGAAGCTGCCCAAATAAAATTTTTCAAGAATAGAAATTCTAAGTATTTTTTCATTTTCCTAGTATATATAACTGCTGTACCCGGGTGAATTAGTTTACCTAAAAAACTTGTAGCCTTTATCCCTACATATTCTATCTACTTTTCCATTGTCATACAAATGTATTTCCTCCATTTCAAAAGTCAGTTTTTCAGTTTAACAAACTGAGTAAGAACTCAAAATAAACTATTAAATAGATGGGCTTATAGCCTCCAGAATGAATGTCACCCAAAACAAAACAAAGATTGTGAATGGCTTCACATCCACCACATATTACTGTCTAGCCTTAACTCTGTCCTCTGATAGGTTTAGGTTGGACTTTTAAAAAAACAAAGCCAGGGGTAGTGCAACATGCCTGTAACTGCAGCACTCAGGAAGCTGAGGCAGGAGGCTCATCAAGTTTTTTTTTTTTTGCTTTTTGGCGGAACCGGGGATTGAACTCAGGCCCTTGCACTAGCCAGGCAAGCACTTACTCTACTGAGCTATTTTCCCAGCCCCTCATCAAGATTTTAAGGCCAACCTTGGTTACAGTAAGTTCAAGCCCAGGCTAAACTATATACAAAACCCTGTTTTAAAAAATCAGAAAAAAATAAAACAAAACAAAAATATGTAATACTTGAAAAAAAAACTAGATAATCTAAAAGATATACCTTCTATCTGTTTATCATGCAGTAGCTGCTGCTCTTTCTCTTTTCTCCAAAAAGCCTCCTGTTTTTGCCGGATGCGGTGCCGTAACTCCTCATCATCAGTGTCAGAGGACTCAGAGCCTCTGTCGCTCCGCTCATCTTCACTGTCTCCGGATCCGTAACCGCCCAGGCCACCTGCATGCACAGAGCTTAGTCTACCACATGAAAGCACTGCATGGGCCATTAAAACTTTTTATGGTCTGAGAAGGAAGCTCATTTCTTTTTTTCATTGCCTTTTCCTGAAAAAAATGTAGGTTCAGGGTGGGGAGAAGTATATTTTCAAATGCTTACGGAGTTCAAAGAACTCTCAGACGATGGTCAGCTACTACATTATTATTTCTGGACTATTTCATACAGTTCTCAGCATTAATCATGATAATGGCTCACCAAACACAGAATTGTTGATTTCGAAACTACTCCCCACCCTGAAGCGGCCTAAGTGGTAATCATAACAAAACCATACGGGCATTTTCATTCTACCTACAATCTTGTCCCTTATACAAAAAATTACTATGAAATGAGGATGTGGAAAAGGCAAATCCAAGCTAAAGAGCCTTGATAATATCATGCAAATAGCAAATTATGAATATGAATAGATCACTGTTACAGTGCGGTAAGATAAACCCTGTCCTCTGTTAAAACTGGACTTGCTACAACACAATTCATATGAAAGCCATTAAAACCATTAGTGGGTAAGTAAATCCCTATAGCATGTATGCAGTAATTCTCAAAGTGAGGTTAGGTACTATCATAGCTAAATTATGACCTGTTAAATACAAACTATCACTTCTGAGCCTTTTGTCTAAGATCAAGCACAGACTATATATTCATATATATATGAAATTATACATATATATATATATATATATATATATATATTATACATATTGGAGCCACTGATGAAGAAATCCTCCATTCAACTTGCCCCAATAATCTATGAAGTAGCCATCACATTTATAATAGTCCCACTGTGAATGTTTTAGTTTAAAATAAATGTAAACCTTGCATACCCCTGAGACGTAGGTTTTATAAACTGAGCAGGAATAGTGCAATTTCAAAACAGCATGTATAAGTGTGACTTTCCCTCTAGGCCCTCTTAGAAGTACGGAGAACACTTACCGAGTCCAGTGAGGGAAGCCAGTGCACTGGACTGTGCCAGCTGTTTTGCAGGAGCTTTGTATCACATCAACAACAGGAACAACATGTTAACACAAATAGCCACGATTTCATAGTCATGAGAGTCTACGGGGTATTGTTAAATCTACTACTATTGCTGCTTTTTGGGGGAGAGAAGAAACATTAAAAACATAACATTCATTTTAAACCAGTATCATGTCTGGCTTTGAAATTATAATTCTGATGTGAGCTGAAAATTGTTTATAATGAGGAAAAATGTTGACCAGTATAGTTGTATTTGTTTCTCAGTTATAACACATAACTTTTGTTTTAGTATGTCTTTAAAGTGTTATAAAATCATGCGGAAGAGCTGGAAAGTACTTGCTTCTGTAAGAATTTTAACTCTGAAAAATCTGAAGGTTAATTCAAAATTCATCGTCAAACTGTATTAGAAGTCAAAAACCAATACCAATACTATGGCATTTATTTTAAAAAATCAGGTGAAATAGACTGAACATCAGGAATCCTCTATAATACACTCTAAGACAATACCATGACTGCTAATCTGTGCTGTCAGGTAAGTCAGATAAAAATATCTATGTTGTTCTAATATAGTATCTACAAATCTAATCTTTCCCAAAGAGTTAAAACATGCAAGAGAATGTTTAAATAAATGATAGTAATCCAAAGGACAACAAAAAAGTCCAAAAGAGTCAATGAAACCAAAATTCCCCCAAAAAAGCAAAATCAAGAAGAACCACCATATACCTTTCGTTGCTTTACGATGTGTGTCTTTGGCTATGTAATAAATTTCTTCATCTGTGACATCCAGAAGAATTTCAGTCAAAAGCATCTTTGTCAGCAACATCTAATGAAAAAGGTTATATGCTGTTTCTAATTTGACTACTAATTTAGTTACTAATGCAGTTTGATGTAAAACTATCTTATAAAACATCCTAAGATCAGGATAAGCCAACTGAAGGAAAACTATCTTAAAACTCATTCTAAAACACCACAACTTAAAAAAAACTCAAAAGAGTTAAAAAAAAAAAATAATCTCTATACAGACTTGAAATTTTTATATTAGACCAAAAGGGAGAAAGTTTCTAATAATGAAAAGACCTCTAAGTGTAAGTAGCTTTTCACTTAATATTTTCAAGCAGGGCCAGCAAGATAGCTCAGCGGACTAAGCGCCTGATTAGGCAAGCACAGGGACCAGGGTTCTATCCCCAACACCATATACTGAACCAGCTCTGCCCCTGGGCCCACTGAGCCAGCCACTGAGACCAGGTGTGGTGGCATGTGCCTGTAATCCCAGTGCTGGGGAGGCTGAAAACAAGAGGATCACTATGAATCCAAGCTCCATAGTTAGATCCTGTATCAAATACAATAAATAAACAAACAAATAAATAAATATTTGCAAGCGGTGTAACAGTAGTTTAAGTCACTTCTTAAAGTTAAAAATCTGAGGGTTGAAAAAAGCAAGACAAAGATGTTACTCCATTCTGCCAACTGAAGTCCTTCTATTTCTAATATGTTCTTAAGCAGTAGTAGCATCCTTAAAAGTAGAAGTTAATATAAAATGGAGTATACTAGAAGAGCTTTTTGGGGGAGAGAAGAAACATTAAAAATGTAACATTCATTTTAAACTAGTATCATGACTTGGCTATCAACAACTGTTGATATGCAGAGTCTAAAATGCAGACTCCTAGGCCTTTTGCTGTTCTATGCCCAACTGCTTATCTATTAAAGTTCGCACGCAGAATCAGTATCTAAAGATTACTTGTTGGGCCGGGGAGATAGCTCAGTAGAAAGAGTGCTCGCCTGGCAAGAAGCAGGGTCCTGAGTTCAATCCCTGGTACCGCAAATAAATACATAAATATCACTTGTCTTTCAATATGGGAAATGTGTATTACCTTCCTAATTTCATGAAGTAACAAAAGATAGGTAATACAGGCTTTCCAAATGCTTACAGGGCCAGCCAAATAGGGCAGCAGATTAAAGCACCTGCAGCAGGTTCTGGGCCCCAGGGTTCGATCCCCAGGTATGCCACGCCCCCCGAGGGTGCTGAAATGGCAATTGAGACTAGACGTGGTGGCCTGTACCTGTAATCCCAGCTCTTGGGAGGATACAGACAGGTAGATCACTATAAGTCCAATCTAGTAGTGAGACACAAAACACCCTATAAACCCTTCCCTTAAAAAAAAAAAAAAAAAAAAAAGGGGGCCAGGGAGATAGCTCAGTAGAATACGCGATTGCCTGGCAAGTGCAAGGGCCTGAGTTCAATCCCTGGTTTACAATAAATAAATAAATAAATGCTTACAATGAAGAACACTTTTAACTGTGTTCAATGCCAATGCTCCTTACACATACAGTGGGCACAGTGGCACCTCAGTTCTCTCTATGATGTTGGCTGCAAAGCCAACTAGACAAGAACCAAACTAGCCGCTGAACTTCATTTGGTTTGCATCCAATTTGGTTTGAGGCCAGATTTGTGGAAATAACCAAACTCATGAATTGAGGCATGAGGTTAAATGTCAACCTTATGGAGAAACTTGAATTGGTTCTCATGATATTTAGGTTTGCAACTAAAAGTATGGAGAGAATCAAGTTTGTGAATGGAGGTACCACTGTATTTAAGTTCTTATAATCTTTCAGTATTTTTACTTTTTAAAAAATGATCTTGGATCTCACATAGTAAAAATAGTAAAACTTTAAATGCCTATGGTATATCACCAGAGAATAAACACAACAAAGAAGGGAAAAGAAAGAAAAAAGAAATGGAATAATTATTCATAGGCAGTGATTTTTGGATTAAATATTACGTAGGTTTTTCTGGGTTAGGGTATTACTGTAAAACAGCATCTAAATTTTGTATACATTTTGCCTAGCAAATCTACATGTGATTAAATACTCCATAATTTTTTAAATTAATTTTTTTTTTTGATACAGAGTCTTGCTAGGCAGCTCAGACTGGTAGTGATTCTCCTGTCCTCAGCCTTGCCAGCACTGGGATTACAGGTATGCACCACCACACCCGGTTTCAGGGGCCAGCATGGCATTCAGCAACAGTGATTGAATCTGTGTCCTTGCCCTTGTTAGGCAAGTGCTTAGACCACCGAGCTATCTTCCCAGCCCCTCTATAATTGTTTCAGATTTGTTGTAAATGTTTTATTTATTTTTTTAAAATTTTATTTGTGTGTGTGTGTGTGTGTGTGTGTGTGTGTAGCCCACCAGGGCTGGCTGGCATGTAGTGCTGGGGGATTGAACCGCGGTCCTGTGCTTTGCTAAGGTGCTTTAGACCACTGAGCCATCTCACCAGCCCTGTTGTAAATGTTTTAGATAATCAATAGCTTAAAAAATTACAAACAACCTCCAGGGACAATGGCATATGCATGTAATCTTAGCACTCAGGAGACTGAGGCAGAAGATCTCTTCAAGGTTGGGGCCAGTCTGGACTATATAGTGAGTTCAAGTCTAGTTTGCACTACATAAACAAGACCCTATCTCAAACAAAAACAAAAGCAGATACTGTGAAGGCAGAAACTTCACATTTACCATTTGATACTCTTTTTCTTCTTCCGTCATCTCTGGCTCACTCTGCTCTTCTTGAACTGGAGATGGACTTCTGGTGACTTTTCCACTGCTCGCAGCCTCAGTGTTTTCAGGGTCTTCATCTTCTTCATCGCTGTCCTATGAAGATGGGAGGACAGCTCAAGTTATGTTTAGAATATGATAGAATCCCTACCTGAATTACCAATAATTTAAAGCCTCAAATTAAACTTGACTGAACAAAAACATAGAAGTGAAATTTCTGTCAGAATTACATTTTGTCCTAGTCTTCCTATTTTTGGTGCTGGGGACTGAACCCAGGTATTCCTGGATGTAAAATATACCCTCTCACTGAGCTGTATGTCTAGCCCTCTAAATTACATTTCTTTATTACAGATTTAACTTGCTAATTTAAAGTATAACCTGGGAAGAAATGTAAAATTACAATATGATTTATGAAAATCAATTATTTTTTCTATTTTCTTTTCTCCTTAGTCAATTTTGAACAAATAATAATAATAATAAATAATAATAATAATAATAATAATAATCAAGCCCAGAGAGATTTAATTAACATTATCATTACATATGATGGTTCTGAAATGGTTGGTTTGTAGAACTTTGGAAAAATGGACCAGATGCATTATTCAATGTAACTTTTACAGCCATATATATGCTACTTACCTAAAACTGTATGATGTAATATAAAAAAATCGGGGCCAGCGGGATAGCTCAGCGGCCTAAATCACCTGTTTAGGCAAGCACTCAGGGGCCTCCGTTCCATCCCCACCACCTGCCGCACCAACCCTGCCCCCAGGGTGGGCTGAGCCAGCCACAAAATAGAGAGCATAAGCGTGAGAGCAAGAGAGCGAGACAGGGCGGAGAGGGAGAGAAAGGAGAGGAAGAGAGAAGAGAGGGAGAGGGAGAAAAAAAAAGGGACAATTCCATTAAATATTGTGCTTTCTTTAAAATGATCCCTTCTGACAGAAGCAGGGAACAAGGGAGAGGGAGAGGGAGAGGGAGAGGGAGGAGAAAGCAGAAAGAATCTCTGCTCAGGTCTAAGATCTCAGACTGCCCTAAATCATAATTCTTTTTAGCTACACAATGGACAGCTTAAA